AATCCCTAGCTATCCTCACCTAGCAAGTAGGAAGGCAAACATCTCTACATACCTTAGTAATCTCTGAAACATCCCTGCACATGATACAATAGCTGGTATTCATAAAGGTCTCCTTATGTCATTAAGTAAACAATAAATGGCTTTAAAAAGTAAAGTTTCAAACTTCTTGGCAAGATTTTCAATAAAATATTTAAACTTAAAAATGTCTTGGAATTTTTTTAGAGGAATGAAAGCCTTCTGTCTTCTGAAGATTTGTTTATGAAGACTATCTCATCCCCCAGAGAAATGCAGCCTCATGTTCACAGAATTGCATGGCTTGAAAATGTGAAACATCCTAGACTTTGTCTTCACAGACGTGTGGGATGTGTCACCTAAAATTTGTTCAGATTGTTAAGGGCTAGATGGCATTGATTCCTTCAAAATAATATGAGATTTGGAGTCTATGCTAAAATCCATGAAGTGAACCCCAACAATGGAGTTGAGACAAGTATGTGCATCCATATGAATTTCCATGTGCCTTTCAAAGTGGCCATCAAGAGATGTGTCTTTGCTGCAAGGTAGGAGCAAGAATGATTTAGATTAAAAAATCAGTTCTACACCCACAGAGTGGGAGAAAATATTTGCCAACTATACATCAGACAAAGGACTGATAACCAGAATATATAGGGAACTCAAAAAAACTAAATTCTCCCAAAACTAATGAACCAATAAAGAAATGGGCAAGTGAACTAAACAGAACTTTCTCAAAAGAAGAAATTCAAATGGCCAGAAAACACATGAAAAAATGCTCACCATCTCTAGCAATAAAGGAAATGCAAATTAAAACCACACTAAGATTCCACCTCACCCCTGTTAGAATAGCCATCAGCAACACCACCAACAACAGGTGTTGGCGAGGATGCGGGGAAAAAGGAACCCTCTTACACTGTTGGTGGGAATGTAGACTAGTACAACCACTCTGGAAAAAAATTTGGAGGCTACTTAAAAAGCTAGACATCGATCTACCATTTGATCCAGCAATACCACTCTTGGGGATATACCCAAAAGACTGTTACTCCAGAGGCACCTGCACATCCATGTTTATTGCGGCACTATTCACAATAGCCAAGTTATGGAAACAGCCAAGATGCCCCACCACTGATGAATGGATTAAGAAAATGTGGTATCTATACACAATGGAATTCTATGCAGCCATGAAGAAGAACGAAATGTTATCATTCGCTGGTAAATGGATGGAATTGGAGAACATCATTCTGAGTGAGGTTAGCCTGGCCCAAAAGACCAAAAATCGTATGTTCTCCCTCATATGTGGACATTAGATCAAGGGTAAACACAACAAGGGGATTGGACTATGAGCACATGATAAAAGCGAGAGCACACAAGGGAGGGGTGAGGATAGGTAAGACACCTAAAAAATTAGCTAGCATTTGTTGCCCTTAACGCAGAGAAACTAAAGCAGATACCTTAAAGCAACTGAGGCCAATAGGAAAAGGGGAACAGGTACTAGAGAAAAGGTTAGATCAAAAAGAATTAACCTAGAAGGTAACACCCACGCACAGGAAATCAATGTGAGTCAATGCCCTGTATAGCTATCCTTATTTCAACCAGCAAAAACCCTTGTTCCTTTCTATTATTGCTTATACTCTACAACAAAATTAGAAATAAGGGCAAAATAGTTTCTGCTGGGTATTGAAGGGGGGGGAGGAGGGGGGGAGTGGGGTAAGGGAGGGGTGGGGCATGGGGGAGAAATGAACCAAGCCTTGTATGCACATATGAATAATAAAAGAAAAATGAAAAAAAAAAAAAGAAAAGTTGGCTAAGGTCACATTGTCAAAAGCTTTCACTTTGTCCTAAAAACCAGCTGGTGCTTTATCTAGAGATGAACACGGGGAATTAGAGACTTCTCCTATCACTCTTTCAGGAAACAATGTGATTACTTGTACAAAGTTGAAAGATTTCAGAATGATATTAAAGCAAATTACAGGGAAATCGGGTCAGAAGTAGTGAATAAAAGACAAAGGGAAATGCTGAAGAAAAAGAGAAGTGAAAAGGAGAGAAGAAAAACACATCCTATTGATCTCTAAATGATAAATTCCACTATCCTAGGTGAGATTCTAGTGGGGTGGCCTCTGCCTCCTCAAAGAGGCATTGTCTCCTCCTCACAGACTCTTCTCAGAGCTGGCCAGCATTTCTCAGTAAAGTAGAAGGTGCTGGGAACAGAGATGGCTCTAGAAGTCATAGTTCAATTAATATGGAAATACAGTAGCAAAAGGAGGCATCCTTTGTGGAAGAGAACCTCAAGAGAAGCTGGGGATATAGATGAGATTAGTGTTGGGGATACTGGGGGTGGGGAGGCTAAGAAGTTGGTCCCTTAGAAAAGACAGCTCAGGGCTGGGCTTACAGATCAAGGACGAGCCACCTGGATTCACCCACACTGAAAAGGAATATCTAAGGGCTAAAGTTTTCCCTCTCCAGAGACTGAGGCTGGGAATACACGGGGATCATCCTCTTGCAAAGGAGGAAAAAAGTAGGTCACTGTGCTTGGTCACTGTGCTCATTAGTGAGCTGAGAGTAGTGACCAAGGTCAGAGGTTAAATGTGAGGAAGACACCAGAGCAAAGTAAATGATTTTACTCCCTCTGTAGACTAATATTCAGCAATCCATCTTTCTATCCTCATCAATATAGCACCCATTGAGGAGTATTGCTTTCAGTAACAATGACTACAGCTAGTCATAGTGTGTGTCGGTCAAAATGGGGACTATCTCTAAAGTGAACTTTGTCTTTTTTTATGGAGACAAAGAACATGAGGGTTTCCACTCTGGATCTATCCCCTGGCTTATCAGTCTAATGGTTAGGGATGCCAGCTGTAGACTTTACTGCCTCTTTCTGAGATTGCAAAAAGTAAAGTTATCCAGCTGAAACCAAGTATGAACAGTCAGAGGTCAGGTTTTCCCTGAAAAGCTGAGGGCCATAGACAGTGTGGTGGGGACTATATCATTGTCAGGAAGAGAGCAGAGTCCCTTCCAGGCCTGGGCTAAGTCCTTTGTAGCCCACATGGGAGAGACAGAGGCAATAGAAGCTCTGGAAGCAGCCTGAGGACTTGTGGGGCAACTGAGGCATCTCAATGAGGCCTGCTTACCAATTGTCTGGTGATTTTGGGGGGCTTCATTGGTACTGAATATGTATTTCATTACAGAAGTAATATAAAACTTGGCTATAGAAAACCAAGGAGATTACGCACAATGACCCTCCAAACATTAATTATGATACAATCAGAATCTTTCTTAACTGGTCCTTTTCCTAGATCACAGCTTCAAAGTTAGGACCTGAGGCACTTATAGAAGAACACCTTTAGTATGAAACTTTATTCAAAAATTCCAAGCATGAGAAGTTTGGGAGAAGGAACCTGAGTAGGGCAGAATTTTTTTTATAAGGATTTAGGAGAAGAGGTCAACTAAAGTTCCACTACTTTGAGGAAGAGGGCAAAGATGGTTCTTGGAAATAGGAGAAGTTGTATAAGAATGAGGAGCTATTGTTTGGGACTTTACCCAGAGGTAGGTGAGAGACAGGTGCAAAGGTCATATCAAAAAGAGATGGAAGCCGAGCACCAGTGGCTAATGCCTGTAATCCTAGCTACTCAGAAGGCAGAGATCAGGAGGATCACAGTTCAAAGCCAGCCTGGGCAAATAGTTTGCAAGATCCATCACAAAAAAGGTGGAGTGACAAGGTGTAGGCCCTGAGTTTAAGCCCCAGGACCACACACACACACACACAAAATAAGATGGAGAAGAACATCTACTAGGGACAAGGACACTCTCAGACATTTAATGTCTATTGCAGGGAACAAAAGGTCTTCTGACTTTCAGTGAGAGGTCTTTCATCCATAGATGCTTCAATATTCTCTGTTTTGGTAGGTAATTGAGAAAGAACCATGGAGGAGTCCTGGGTCCGCTCTGGAGATAAGTAGAAGCCTAGACATCAAATGTAAAATTGGAAGATGTCAAGACTTTGCTCAAGGGATATGATTTATCTTCAACTGGAATGGTACCTGCAGGAGTTGCATTCTATCATTTCTAGTCTGAAGTTATATGAAAGGAATTCTGACTTTTTTTTCTCTTAGCAGTACTGGAGGTTGAACTCAGGACCTCATACTTGCTAGGTAGGTACCTTATCACTAGAGCCACTCCACCAGGCATCTTTTGCGTTGGTTATTTTGAGATAGTGTCTTGCTTTATGCCCAGGCCAGCCTGAACTGCAATCCTCCTATTTGTGCTTCTCCATGTAGCTGGGGTAACAGACAGGCACATGCCATTACACCCAGCCATTGGTTGAGATGGGGTCTCGTGAACTTTTTTCTGAAGCTGATATGGAACCATGATCCTCTGTCTCTGCCTCTTTAGTAGCTGGGATTATAGGCACGAGCCACCACTCCCAGTGAATTCTGATATTTGTGATTGAGAAAAACACCAGGACTTCCTCACAAAGGAATTTCATTTCCTAGTGACATGGCTCTGGAATTATTGGTATATCAATAATTTTTGTTCCTCTTAAGAAAATTCTTCTGAGTTCAATGCTGAGATTTTTTAGCTGTCAGCCTGGGCAGCTGTCAGCCTGTAGCCCACTGTACCTCACTGTCCTCAGAACAATGCAGCCTTATACACTGGTTTTTCAGAGATGGGGGATATTTATGTTCATTTTTCCTTGCTGTGCCTTTAAGAACTGCAGGAATGCAAAGGAAGTCTGGAGGAGAGGTGGGGTCTCCAAACAGAACTTCTGGGAAAAGGATCCTGGGAATTATTGCCAAAAACTAAACTGAGATTCCAACTCCGAGAAGTTGGGGGTGGTTTGTGTGGGTCAGGCCTGTGATTGGACTGCAGAGTCCACTAGGGAGGAGGAAAGCAAAAGTAAAAGGAAACTGCTGGGGGATGGGAACACCTCCCCATTACCCCCCACACACCCTAAGCCTGAAAGCAGTGTGCAGCCAGCAGCCTGGGGAGGGTCTACACATGTCAAGGGCAGCAGATGCTAGACCCAGGAAGCAATCTGCACCAAGTGTGCCTGCAAGGTCTCCAGGAACTGATTGCCAACAGCTGGACTTGATCACCAGCTTACAAACTGAGATCATTCATTGGGTGGAATAACAAGCGGACTGTGCTCTCTGGTTCTACAAAACATTGTTTTTCAAGGACTTGTCACGGCAGCAGATAGAAAACAGGAAACTACCGCCTGAAACTTTGAGTCTTCTTCAAGAACCATAGCATAAGAAACTCCACTCCTGGGGAGTTTGCAGGATGACGGTGGCCCTTCAGGAAGCTTCTGCTGTGCTCGTTTTGTTCCTTGCAGCATTTCTACCCCCACCACAGTGTGCCCAGGACCCAGCTATGGTGCATTACATCTACCAGCGCTTTCAAGTCTTGGAGGTAGGTGACATCTATGGACTTACACAAGGAACAAGCCACCTGGGAGTCACTTTATTATACCCACACTTCCCTGACTACTGGAATGCATGCTTTCCACAAAGAAAATGATAAATCCATTGCTAAAATTGCACTTACAAATGTGTATATTCTATCAGTGCAGGACACTAACTCCAGAGTCTGGTCTGCTTCACTCCCAGGCCTTGAACATGGCTCACTCTGTACTCTGACTTAACAGTTTTTATAATAGGATTTACCATCTAAGGTTATTCTGAAAATTTAACGAATAAATTCCAACTTTGAGAACTTGGGGGTGTTTTATATTGGATCATTAATCCATAATTAGAACATCGCCTAGCATGGTGGGTACATGTACAATTGTTAACATCCAAAATCAATAGTTCATTTTTTTAAATATGAAAAGTAATAAATTTTGTAAGTTTTCATGTTTTAGTATATCTGGATGATAGCAGATTTTTAACTTTTTATCTTTTTTTACAATAAACCATTAAGTCTCTATAAAATGTTGATAGTGTACTGAAAGGGTAACTCTTGGAGTTTTTGCCTTAACTGGACTTGGAATTACAAATGAACAGATTTCAGCAATTTTAAACAGAGCCAAAGTGTTTGGGCTTCCACCTCATTAAAATGGGGTAAAACTCCATGCTTTTGTAGGACAGAGTTTCTCAGGGACAAATGTAAACTTCCACCCTGGACTTTCTCATACCCTAGCATTGGTATCCATTATTTCAAACTTTATGCCTCGCTGTTACACATGTTAAATTGACACATTATTTATCTTCTTTCCAAGACACTTACTTCGAATATTTATTTTCTGTCTTTTTCTAAAAAAAATCTTAAAGTACAAATTATTTGGTCATCTAGTTACAATCAGTGAAAATAATTCAACAGAGCAGCCATAATGCATTTCTAACATTGTCCCACCAACAGACTGTGGCCTGAAAGCTGTGGATGAAATGTTTCCAGGCAATGGCTGCTTCACTTGCTCCCTTCCTCAACACCTCCCAGTCTCACCTACTTAAAATGTCAGGATTACTCTCAGCCTTTTGTACCAGCTGCCCCTATGGTTAGAGCCAGTCATATACCTCCCTGCATATTGTCCTTCAATGCTTAAAAAGAGTTTTTCTGCAGGTAATTGAATAACATACAAATTAATACTTCAATAGCTTTGACTATAGGTTTGAAAAAGGCAGGGTTATGAGTTGTTCAGATCTTCCCACCCTGATGCTGACCTGAAGGTAAAGCCAAGTCCCAGTTGGTCACTGCAGACACTTAACTAAGTGATACAATTCTCATCCTGAAAGGGATGTGTCAGAAGCAGAAAAGGATATAGATTTAGGGTTATTTATTTTTTTATTGTACTGGGGTTTGAACTCAGGGATAGACAAATGCTCTATGACTTGAGCTACAATACCAGACCTAGGCTATTATTTTAATCTTTCTCTATCTCTGTCTCTCTGTCTCTCTCTGTCTCTAACTCCTTCCCTTCCAAATGAAGTGCCCTTATATTGATGTTTGAGCATAACTTTTTACATTTGTGAAGAGCATTTGGTAAACTGTGTCAAGTGAACTTTAAGTAATCCCATTTCCATTCATTTATTCTTTCATTCAACAAATATTTGTCGAGTACTACTATATGTTAGGCCATGTGCCAGATGCTGGGGAATGGAGCTAATTTCTAGAAATCTAGTAAAAGAAAATAACTAGTTGAGTGCATGAAAATGTAAATACATTTTTTTCTCAGCACTATTTGGATAATATAAAATGAAAAACTACATAAACGTCTATCTAAAACAATATAACAGAATAGATAATGGGATATCAATTCAATAGAATGTTATATATTTTTTATTAGGATATATTTGATTTACAGAGGGGATTCATTGTGACAATTCCAAATAGGCTTACATTGTACATTGGTTAGCTTGCCCCTACCATCTCTCCCCCTCACACACTTAAAGCAGTTGCAAGAGGTTTCATTGTTCTATTTTGTATATGAAGTCCATCAACCATACTTCCTCACCTTAATCTCCTTCATTCACCTTCCCCCTCCCACAAGTATCCACCACACTATCTATTTTACAGTCCTGTCTTTTGTTATTAATTTCTAAGTCAATGTTCAAGGGGGTTTCTTGATGTATCATCACTGTGAATATACTTTACCTTGGTCAGCTCAACCCCTTTCATTTCTCTCTCTTACCCCTTTACCTCCTCCCACTTTTTCAACAATTTTCAATACACATCCTTATATCCTCTACCTTCGCAGATGTTATGTATTACAATATTGTTGATGCTCTGTCAGAATGCTATATCTTATTAAAATTATGTTATAGGTGAATATATATATTCCACAATGTATACATACATCAAAAATTATGTTGCACCATAAATATGTGTGTGTATAATGAAAAACCATTCAGCCTTTAAAAAGAAGGTCATTTGTGACACTATATCTGAACTTGAAGGACATCTAAAATAAGCCAAACACAAGAATACAAACACTGAATGATTTCACTTATATGTTGAACATAAAAAAGCTGGACTCATGGAAACATCAGAGGCTGAGGGGCAGGAGCAATGGGGAGATGTTGGTCATTTCAGTTAGAAAGAATAAGTTCAGCCAGGCACTGGTGGCTCAAGCCTATAATCCTAGCTACTCATGAGGCAGAGATGAGGAGGATTGTGGTTCAAAGACAGACCAGGCAAATAGTTCATGAAACCCTATCTTGAAAAACTCTCTCCAAAAAAGGGCTGGAGGAGTAGCTCAAGATATAGGCCCTAAAAAAAAAAATGTAGGCCTGAGTTCAAACCACAATCAATACTACAAAAACAAACAAACAAACAAAGGAATAATAAGTTCAAGAGATCTATTGTACATCATGGTGACTAGTTAATAACCATATATTCTATGCCTATAAGTCAGTAAGAGAATAAATTTTAAGTGTTTTTGTCCCAAAAAATAAGTGTGGGAGTTAGCACATATATTAATTGGCTTGACTTAACCATTCTGCAATGTTGTACCATAAATATATAGAACTTTTACTTGTCAGTTCAAATGGATGTGATCAACACAAAATTTATGGTGTAAGTATACCAATACAGTAACTGATATTAAAATATGTTCAAGCTATATCAGCAAGTTGAAATATGTTACAAAACATAGATATAGTAAAATCATATGTCTTTGAATATATAAACATATATGTCACTAAATACATAAGAAAACTTAAAAATTGATACACTAAGTTATCAATAGTAACTTCAAATTTTGGATTAGGAGTAAATTTTCTTTTTCCCTTTTTTATTATTTGTATTTTTTCTAATAATCATTTTCTATGAATGTTAGCTATTTTTATTTTATTATTTTTATTACTTTTATCTATTTTCTACCTGAAGCAAGGGTTGGAAAAATGTACCCAAGCAACAAGGGCATACGTTCAAGAATTCCGAGAATTCTCAAAGAACGTATCTGTTATGCTGGGAAGGTGTCAGACCTATACGAGTGAATATAAGAGTGCAGTAAATAACCTGGTACTGAGAGTGGAACGTGCCCAACGGGAGATCGACTACCTGGAATACCTCCGAGAAGCTGACATGTGCATAGAATCAGAGGAAAAGACACTAGCAGAAAAGCTACTTCAAGAAGCTGAAGAAGAGCAAAAGATCCGCACTCTGCTGAATGCAAGTAAGGCCTATATCTTTTTACTACCTCTTTGAGGGACTATCACACTCTGAAGGACACGGACTTGGGGCACACGGAGAGTGTGAGCAAGTGATGAGTAAGAACAGGATGTGTGCTTTGCCAGGCCTGTGCTGGAAGAGTAAATTGTGCAGGGAACAGGGGTCCAAAGAAAAACCTATTCTCAGAGAGTAGAAATGCTCAAGTTTCTAAAGACCCCATAGAAGGTCAGGGCTACAGTATTGAGGTAGCCTGGGAGTCACCTCCTGATAGGTATCAGTTTGTTGGAGGGATGTGGTCCTGGATCCTTCCAGGGAGAATGGCATGTTGGTGGATTCTACATCCAGGGCCCTGGAAGTAGGGAATGGCTGACAATGTGCAAGGCAACAGTCTGAAACAGGACACTCAGGGCTGGGAGCGGCAATGAATTATTATGTGTGTGTTGATAATTATGGGATGGTGATACACAGGGGATTTGGGATCCATCAGAATCAATTCCAAGCCATTAACAATAATGTCTAGTAGCTCAAATTAAAAAGTATAAAGCAACAGACACAAATATGAGAAGGAAATTTTTCTGTTTGAGTCCATTTCGTTAAAACAGTAAGAGAAACAAGACTCCCACCTCAGGGACTAAATTCTGAAATGGTTTCATGACGAACAGGATGACTTTATTCATATGCTAATTATCTCTGCCAAATTCATGAAACTCAACCAGGGAAATAAGACACAAGCTGAGTGTCATCATTGCTTTGTTTCACACATCTTCTCAATGTAATCTCTTAAAAACTCCATGGGTCATTATAAGAAAGGTCTGTGAATATGAGTAAAACTGCATAGAGCAGGTGACTGTAGGAAAACTAAGGTGAAAAGTTCAGCAGGACCCAGACAATGGAAGACCTTGCATACCATAATAAGAAGATTAAAGTTGACTGGAGAAACTTTAGTGAACCACTGGATTATTCTAAGCAAGGGGAGGATATGAAGGAAGAGGGTAAGACTGGAGAGAAACCAGTCAGGAGACTACTGCAGCAATTTGGGCAAGTAATGATGTCAGCATGAATTGTCATGGGACAGAGAAGAGCAGGTAGATTTGAGAGCCATTGGAAGGTGGAATCTACATGGTTTGGCAACTGATGATCAAAACTAAAGGATGGAGCTGGAGGCATGGCTCAAGCAGTAGAGCACTTGCCTAGCAACTGTGAGGCCCTGAGTTCAAAACCCTAATACTGCAGAAATAAAAATGATAATTATTAAATTTTAAAAAGATGAATGAGAGAGATGAGTTCTGAGCTTATGTCATTGAATAGTTGGCATGAAGTATGTTGAGGTAGGAAACCCAAGAGGAATTTGGGAACACTTATTATTTGACTATTTCTTTCAGAGAATTTATGGCTTAGTCTGTTTTCTGTTGTTGTAACTGAGTGCCACAGACTGGATAACTTATTTAGCTCATGGTCAAGAGCATGATACAGGCACCTGGTTAGCAGCTGGCAAGGGCTGTCTTGCTGCATCATAATGTGAGCCTCACATACTGAGGTTGAAGGTCTCTTCCTCTTCTCATAAAGCCACTTACACATCATAGGGGAATCTCCCCCCCCCATTAACCTCATCTAATCCTAATTATCTCCCAAGGGCCCCACCTCCAAAACCATTAATATGTGACTTTGGGGATTAAGTTTCCAACACATGAACTGCTGGAAGAATCATTCAAGCCATAGTAACTTAAAACTCTGAAATATTCCAGTTCGTTTATTAGCTCACTGCTTATTTTCTCCCTCTCCATCTATAACGTCAGTTCTTTGAGAGCCTGGTACTCCATTTCATGTTCAGTGCTGTGTCTCCAGTGCCTAGAAAGGGAGAAAGGACAAGGCTAGGCCAGCCAGGATAAACAGAGGCTTCCTAAAAAGCTGAAGGGGGCTGGGAGCATAACTCAGTCGTAGAATAGTTGCCTAGCATGCATGAGGCCCTGGGTTCGATCCCTATCAATGCAAAAAGAAAACAAACCAAAAAGAAAGTAAGAAAGATCTGGTGGAAAGGATTAGGTATAATATGGCCTGAAGTAAAATGTGCCTGAACTTTCTCATCAGGGAATAGGTAGGATCTCAAGCCTGAATGGTAGTACTGAATTAGCTCCCTAAACTGCTTCTAGTCCCTATAAACCCTCAGCCCCTCAGGCCTTGAATTGAGCCCTTTCCCACTCCAGCTCTTGGAATCGATGCTTTCTCAGTTCTCATCCTCTGCCTCATCCCGCAGACCTTGGAGCCCGAAATATTTTCTCTCCTAGCTCTGTGATAAATGAAAACTTCTCTCTCGACTTCCCAGAGATTGCTGCTCCCATACCTTTGCTTGTGGGGCTCATATTTCATGTGTACATTTGTTATTCAACCAACACATGTTGCCCCTTGGGTCGGCTATGCTACACAGTAGGGACAGAGGAGTGAGCAGGACATGTCTGCATCCTGTACTAATTTTCTTATTGCTTCTGTTGCCTTCTACAATCCAACTGCTGTTAAGCAAACCTTCCCACAGCACAACATGGATCATATTATTCTGTTTAGAATTTTGTATTCACTATTAATTATCAACAACAAAAATATTCATTCTATTGTCTAAGCCTTTTATATAGGAAAGTCCCTTCACAAAGTGAAGATCTCAACTGTTTCTTCTCCCAAGTTACTCATAAGCACCTACAATATTTATAGGTTCAAACAGAGATATGAGTATTTAACACACTCAAACACACATGTGTGTATTTGATTCTTCAACCAGACCATGAACATATTGACATTTTCCTTTCTGAATTCATGGCGTCTAGAACATAGACCTTGCATGGAAAGTCCATAAAAATTGTTTCTAGAAGAAATACCAATGGCAGAGGCCCTGATGAGCTCAATTTAAGGAAAGACAAGCCTATAAATAATCTTAGCCTCATGGTTCGTGCTCCCCTAACCCATTATTTTCAGAAATTCTCTGTCCAAGGCTAGATTTTAGAACATCAGTTTCTTCACCTACCTCACATTGTTCATATTTCATACTGTGCTTCCCCAGTTTTTTGTTTGTTTTATTGTGGTTGTGATTTTTTGTGCATTTTTTTTTTTTTGTCTTTTTCTTTTTTTTTTGGTGCTGGGATCGAACCCAGGGCCTCACGCATGCTAGGCAAGCGCTGTACCACCGAGCTACATCCCAGCCCATTTTGTGCATTTTTTAATGCCTCACAACACATTATCATAGATTTAGCAGCTCTAAATGATATGTATTTATTATTTAGATTTTCTGTAGATTAATAGTTCATGTATGGGATACAGCTATGGGACTAAGGTCCAGAAACCTCCCCTCTCCATGGGTGGCTCAGAGTATGCCTGTTTTTCTTTCAAGGCTGACAGAAAAGTACATCTCTCATGAGGTACCCAGTGCCTCTTTTAAAGTTTTTGCTCTGATCATATTAGGTCTACCTATCCTAATAGTCTTTTTGATTAGATTAAAATTACCTAATTTGAAGCACCATAGTCTTATAATGTAACTCAGTGACAGAGTGCTGTCAAATGCCCAGGTCCTGTCCACACTCCAGGGGAGGGATTATGTGGGGCATGTACATGGTGGAACTTGCATGCCCTTTTTGGAATTCTACCTGTCACAGTGTGTTGTTCTGCTACTAATTCCCCAAATCCACCTTCTTCCTAAAGGATTCCAGTCTTTCCAGCTTCTGTCCTTGGCCCACTGGGACGGTACAAGTTGTAGAACTTTCACTAAAATTCTAAAAATGCAAGTCAACACTTTTGTGTGGGTAAAAACCTAGGGATTATTGGCCAAGGAAGGGCTGCTAGGGTTCAGTACATAGTTTCATTCATATGCATATATTTTGTCTTAAGAGTGTTCCTTTGGAAAACCTATAGCAAGTAGATCTTGAACTTCCTTAGATAATTCAACCTGAGTCTCAGGAGACTTCCAGGAAATTCTAACACATGTTAGTTTAAATGGTTCTCATTTCTAGGAATATTTCTCATGCAAATACTAAAGACCAGATACTGGGGATGAGAAATAAGATAGGGTTGCTTTATAATTAAACCATTCCCTGTAGAGCTGTTTATCAAGTCTTCATTCTTTATTTTGAAATAATCCCAAATAATGCCCACATATAGTCCTCAATCCCAGGGATTTTGGGGGTTTAAGTAAAATTATTAGAATCAAAACTTTATCTCTTTCTCTCCTACTCCCCCGCTTCACATAGATACACAATTTGAAATGTAAGCAAGTGAAACTTACATGAATACAATCTAACTTACATTTGTAAATCATTTCAAGCCTTTGGCACTAAAACTGCTACTATTAAAGTAAATTTTGCATTGCACTTGCCAATTTATCATAAAACACTATGGCCTAAGGCACCTAGATTGAGAATTTATCCAACTGAAGTCTTGGGAAGATTCCATGGGCTGTATTCTTGTGTGGATAAAAGCATTAACCTCTTTTTAATTTGCAAATAGCTTTTGAAGAAAAATTCTCGAAACAGTCAAAACAAGCCTTTATTGTAGTAGATTTTATTTTATTTCCTGCTTTAGTCCAGCTCCTTTTATTGCAAAGGTGCATGCAAGTTAGCTTGAGTCACTCTCACTCTGCTGAATTAAATAACTCCTGTCTTCTATTAGATCATGTTTCAAAGAAGAAAGTCTGTTGCTGCATATCTAAATGCCTCTAGAATCCATTTATGTAGATAAATGTGCATGCCCGTATTCAAATTCACTAAAAACAAATAATAAAAAAGCAAAACAACCAAACAATCCCCCAGAAGCAAATAAAACATATTTGTGAACTAACCCTAAAGATCATTAGTTTTTGCTGAGTGGAACAAAACATTAAGAGAAGTATAACCAAAGTGAAATGATGTGTTTACTACAAAAGAGGAGATTGGAGGTATGCATGTAGGTGTAAGTACAGGAGAACGTGAATATGCTCTGTGTGTGTGTGTGTGTGTGTGTACACACGCTATGCATGCAAACACCCAG